CACCGTCAATGAGTGTGGGGATGGGACCTGAAAAGCCATATTCTTAAACATTTCATTTCATATGTAAAGCAATGATTTTAGTTATCCCTGCATTTTTGGTAGCCCCTGGTACACACATGATAGATTCCCAAATGATAGCTGAATGAATTGTGTCATAGAAATCAATTTCACTAAGTGTATATTCAGAACTAGACATTATGTGGATAGTCTGCTCATATCTTTGGCTTCTCACCACCTCACAAGGGGTACCAACACCTACAGTTATCCTATGAACTCATTTCTCTGAATCTCCCTCACTTCAGATCCAATTCTTATTTCCTGTTCATTCTTTTGCAATGGCATTCTGGATTTGCTTTGAGCAGCCAAATGGGAATATGGCTACCAGCTCTTCTTTGTGAGAAAAATTCATAATTAGAATCTAATTATTTGTATCTTTCCTGTTCAAATTGATGATGCCCTTTATTATCTAAAAAGAAAAGATTTGTGCTTTTATTTTGCTTTTTGGGACCAAGGATGATTTGGTTCAGTGGTCTGGAAAAGAGAAAACAGTGAATACAAGACTAGGGAATTTTTTCTTGGCCAACCAGTAGGAGAGACTCCTTAGTTTCAATCTGGATTGCAAGGACTGAATGCTAAGCCTTTCCTCATTTATTATTTTTCATGTCTTACAAACAAAATGATATACTAGAGATAGAATTTAACTCTTGCTCCCTAAGTCCCCAATAATAATACCAGGGTTGAGGGAGAAAACCTGAGTACCTCCAGGAAGGTGCCTCAGTTCTAATCAGCTACTTTCTGTGTATTTAGAGCATAGTTCAGATACCATGGTTTGGATTTACTGCCATGACTGTATAGTCAAGCTTTGCTCCTTCAGACATATTGCTCCTGGGACACATACGCATCCAGAGTAAAAATCAAACAGAATGGGTTTTGAAATTTCTGATCTTGCCTTACTATTCTGTAAATAAGAAAGTCAAGAGAGATTCGGAGAAGTTGTTTGGTTAGGCAGTTCAATTGGACTGATAAAGACAGATCTAGGACTTAAATTGGCCATCTTATTCTTTCACCCTCTAATCCAATATTTGGAGTGATTTCATGCCCATGTAGATGACTCATCTTGCATCTGAGCCCCTCATTCCTTAAATCCTTTACCTGCTGTGACTTTTGAACTGATTTCACTCCTTCCCATGGAGCAGCTCATTATCTAGAACTGTCCACATCTGAAATATCTTGGTCCTTAAGTACAGACTTTGTTTTTCTTTTATTCATTTAGTTCCTCTTTCTCTGGTCCTTAATGGTATAGGGGCTTTTTTCCCCTTTTGCCTTTATTTTCTCATTTTTAACCACCCCCACCCCGCACAGGGTTCCCTTCCTTCCCTGTTGGTTAGATTCCGTGACCCATCTAGTCAGCCGCTCTTTGTTACTAATGTCCTCAACTCCTATTTATTAGTTTTCATTTTTGCACTTATCTGACAAAAATGCAACTCTGAACGTGTTCGCTTTCTTCATGCTTCCATCAGAATAGATAAAAGCCAATGGAGAAAAGGCAGATTGATGACTTCATCATAGTCGTTCTCAAAGTGTGATTCCCAGTCCAGCAGCATCGGTATAATTTAGGAACATGTTAGCAATACAAATTCCTAGAGCCCTCTTCAGCATACTGAATCAGAATCTCTCAGAAGGGGACACAAGAATCTGTGTTTTTACGAAGTTCTCTAAGTAGTTCTGATACACCTTGAAGTTTGCAAATTACTACTCTATTAATTCTCGATCTTTAACCTTAACTGGCTACTAACACTGCCAATCTTTTTGTTTTCTAAATTAGTAATCTTTAGTGTTCTCCATAGACGCCTTTTCAAATCTTGTTAATTCTCCTCAAGTCTATGATAGTGCCTGTGTCTCCTCATTCCCCAGAGGGTATCACTCTCTGACTTATATTAGTTTGTGCTTGAACTCCCTCAAACTCCTGCCACAACATCCTCAGCCTAACCACAGTCACCTGCAGTAGAGGAGTCTTCATGTCTATATGCTTCTGTTCTACATTCCTTTCCTTTCAGCATTGAGGACCTTCTCCCTTTCTCTTCACAGAGTTCCCTCTCTCTACTGGCATCCTCACGTAATCTCATCACAGCTTACATTCACACTCTTTGGTGTTTTGATTCTACATGTGATGAAAACAACGTAGGGATTTAAGCGAGGAAATGACATTATCTGACATATAGTTTATAAAGATTTTTACCCTTCTGTGGAGAATGGGTTGCATGAGGCAAGAGTTGAAGCAAGAAGAGCATTTTAGATATTATGGAAAATCCGAAGAGAGGGATGGTGGCTTGGGTCACGGAACTTGTCGCGGAGTCATAACTAACTTTGGGCTGTGAGTTGGAAGTAGAATTAACAGGGATAAAGGTGGGGGTCAAAGATGATCTCAGTCTTTTGGTTTTAATAATTATGTGAATGGCGATGCTGTTTACCGGAATGAGGAAGCCTGGGAAAGAATAAGATGACTGGAAAAAAATCAAGTCTGTTTCTGGCCATGTTACGTTTCAGTTGTTTATTGGAGATGTATGTGGTGATAGGCAGCTCAACATTTGACTCTGGGGTCCCAAGAAGAGATCAGGGTAGAAATGTGGATTTAGGAATCTTTGGCCTATAGGTTGTATTTAACGCTCTAGTATTTGGTGAAGACACCTTGGGAAAGGGTGTGGAAAGAGAAGACGGCCTAAGACAAAGCCCTGAGCTACCCCAATATTTAAACTGGGAGTATAGAGGGAAAATTTATAGTACAGGAAACTGAGCATGAGCAAATGATAAATTAGGTGAATTTCTCAGAAGGAAGTGGTCAGGTATGCAAAATTCTGCTGAGAAATAAATTAAAATAAGAACAGAGAAGTAATCATTGTAAATGGCAACTTGGAGGACCCCAGGGAGCTTGAGGAGTATAATCACAATGAAATGCTGACAGCAGAGGTCTGATTAGAATGAGTTGAGGAAATCATGTTGAATTAGTCCTGCCAAATCATGTGCTCCTGCCTGAGGAGAAGCTGGGACATTTGTTTGTTCTTCACTCTAATCCTTAATCAATAGATTCCTGAATCAATATGAGTCTAAGAACAGGTGCTTAAATTCTGCAAACTGATGCAGACTTTGGTAGAAATAGGGGTGGTTGTTAAAAGCTCATATCTGAAAAGTTTAAATGAAGGTACTGACTGGCACGGTGGCTCACACATGTAATCCCAGCACTTTGGGAGGCCAAGGTGAGCAGATCACTTGAGGTCAGGAATTAAAGACCAGCCTGGCCAACATGGCAAAACGCTATCTCTATTAAAAATACAAAAATTAGTCAGATATGGTGGTGGGTGCCTATAATCCCAGCTACTCGGGAAGCTGAGGCAGGAGAATCACTTGAATCTGGGAGGCAGAGGTTGCAGTGAGCTGAGATCACACTACTGCACTCCAGCCTGGGTGACAGAGCAAGACTCTGTCTCGAAAATAAACAAACAAAAAGTAATGAAGGTGCCATGAGTTCTAACAGATCTGGCATGTTAAGTCAATATAGAATCTATAAAATTCAGCTGTCTTTGAAACTATTGATAAAAGAACCACTATGACAAAATGAGTTAAGTAACAATAGGCACAGTATTAAAACAAACTGGAATCTGATTTTACCTGGGAAAAGCCAAGTTTAATATGATCAATCCATAGATATTTGGAAGTTGGCTACATATACACACACACTTGCCCGCATGACATTTTATTTATTTATTTATTTACAATTTTTAAAAATAAGGTTTTATTTTGAATTGGTTTTAGACTCACACAGAAATTGGGAAGAAAATGCAGGTTTCTGATGTAGACCCAACCGAGTTTTCCCTCTTATTAACATATCAACATGTATCAGATAATGTTATTAGCATCGTTTTTTTTGAGATGGTGTCTTGCTTGCCCAGGCTGGAGTGCAGTGGTGTGATCTCAGCTTACCGCAACCTCTGCCTCCCAGGTTCAAGCGACTGTCCTGCCTCAGCCTCCTGAGTAGCTGGGATTATAGGCACCGGCCATCATGCCCGGCTAATTTTTGTATTTTTAGTAGAGAGGGGGTTTCGCCTTGTTGGCTAGGCTGATCTCGAACTCCTGATCTCAGGTGATTGACCTGCCTCAGCCTCCCAAAGTGCTGGGATTACAGGCATGTGCCACTATGCCCGACCTGCTATCTATCTGTATATTTTCTTTGCCTGGATGTCTGTTCAGATATTTACCCAGTTTTAATTGGGTTTTTAGTTTTATTTTATTTTTTTCCTTTGAGATAGTATATTTAATTTCATGGTTTATAAAATATGAAAAATGTCCTCATCAGCATACATTTACCAAGTAAGTCCGTGATGTGTTTATGTAGGAAAGGATGACTGGAAATGAGCAGTATAATGATTACAATATTAGGAAAATAAAACATACAAAGAAGCAGTTCTTAGCCAAATTCTCAAATCATAAGAACTGATTATCAGGTAGCAAAGACATTGAAAACGGTGAACTGGCCATCTACTAAAGAGCCATCTTAGGGAGCACACTGTAGAAAGGACTGCTGGCTGTACAAATAGCATAAATAATTATCAGTTAATAAACCGAGTAAGAAGGGGACCCAGTATCTTCCAGTATACTGTAGTTTGTTACCAGGATATTATATCTGTGTACAGTTTACTTGCAATTGCCTAAATGCAAGATCCCTTTTGCAGTGGAGCATTTCAGAGGCAATGTTTCATTTGACACTTTAAATATACCTAATCTCTTATGTAGTATTTATTTTGCTTCTTCATTTATATCTTCCTAAGTTAGCAATAAAGTATTGAGCACTTATTATGTGCGAAGCACTATACTCGTGTTCTCTTAAATATATGTTTAGGAGAAATAAGCCCCAAATGATCTAATTCTTATTTTAGAATGAATGAGTTGCTAACATGCTGGTGGTGTTACCCAAAGGGTGTGGATACCAAATGTTTAGTTCCTACCAGCTCATGACCCCCATCTTCATCGAAGTCCTCCTCTATCCCATCTGTCATCTCTTCTCCATCGGCATCTGGCCCTCCTTCAGCAGGCTCCTCTGTAGAGTGATCTGCATTCTCTGACACACATTCCTCTTGGATCAGCACTAGACTCTCTTCCAATTGCTTCTTCTGAGCTTCTGGGGGGGAAAAAGCAAATGACTACTACTTTGGGTTGCTCATGAGCCATTTGGATAAACCATGAAAAAACAGTCCATGAAAGGGTAAACTCTTTGAGCTGTTAAAGGTGTACAGCAGGTAAGGTAATACTATACTTTAAGTTGAATTTTCTCAGTCATGTAAATCACTTACATATGTCTATGTGTACTTACATGTAAGCATATTTATTTTAATGGAATTAGAAAAAATTAGGGAATCCAGATGGTAGTAGTACATAAACTAGTAAGATTTAATTTTATATATAGTGCTTTCTAATAAGGATAGTCTCTCTGAGAGGAAAATAGAACAAAAACAAAGGGCAAAAATCAACATAGAAATTGTTCACTCAAGGGAGGAGGAAGAAGAAAGCTCATTGACAAGTTCAAACCTATGTGAAAAAGACAAAGAAAAACTCACTGAGGAAAAAAGTAGAAAGAAAATATATGTTTCTCAGCAACATGTCTATGTGAACAATCCCCTGAAATTTTAAAGTCTAAATTCTGTTGACAGGTGTGGTTAACTTCAATGGTTAAGCACGTAAATTCTGGGGTCAGACAACCTGAGTTCAAAGTCGAGCTTCATTAATAGCGTTGTGATGCTGTGCAAAGTCAAAATGATTAACCCTCCATGTGTCTCAATTTTCTCATCCATGCAATAAGGATAACTATTTCCTGAACTTTCAGGGTTTGGTGTAGTGGATCGGAGTGTTAGTATAGTGGCTAGCAAATAATAAGTGCTCAACAAACAAACCTACACTCTACGTTAGTAGAATTTCTTCTTCTTGTCAGGATCTGTGCATTCCACTTATGGGAAGCTGCTCAAATGGGAACTGTGCTGGCAGCATCATAATTATTTTCTCTAGTGGGTGGTATTCATCTCCTATGATGATGTAAAGAAGTGTTTGGTTTCCAATAAATTAGATCATTGTATGTTTCTCCTTCTCTGACTTATTTTCATGTGTTCATGACTATTCAAAAGTTGGTTGTTTTCACTAATTTTGCTTACTTTTTTAAAAAAATCAGATGATTATTCTTATATCTGAGTTTTTAAAGAGTCTACAGTTTGATCTTATTTATTGATAAATTATTATAATAAAGGTAATTTATAGAGCAAAATAACTGTAGGTTATTAATTTCTGGCCTTTTTCATAATGTGAGATAAAGGAAAATGAACATTGATATAAATATTTTATCTCAGCACAAAGCTTTCTTTTTTTTTCACTCCAAATCTCATGTTGAGAAAACTTTTCAAACATAACTAACATGTAAATCAACAAACTGATATAATGTACAAATAAGCAAATAAGCAGCTATTCTTTCCAAGAAATTGTTTATAATTAAAATAATACTTTTAGAAATAAATATGTTTCTATACCTTCTTGCATTTTAATTCTCCAAATGATAAAGTTTATTGAAAATAAGACAATAGTAGAGGGTTGTTGTGCCTTGGCTGTGCTGTCAGAGTTGAGTTGCTCTGAGCTCCAGTTGACAGGATTCTAGCTCTAGCTTTGTTACTTACCCACGGAATTACAGACACTGAGTTTCAGTCTAAGTTTTGGCCATTTGGTCAGGTAACATCAGTGAAACACATTAAATCATTTTTTCCTCATCTATACCTGCCTCTGGGGTTTACTATGACATTTAGCAGAGCTTATATTTGGGAAATGTTTTGCAAATTATAAAGGACTGCATAAGTGTGTTCTGTTATACACAGAAGGGAGATGGTGTGCTCTTCACTGTGAATATGTTGAAGGAATAACAACAATAACAACAGTAAGCGTGGATCAAGAGGCCTGGTTGGATCAGGGAAAAACACTTATGGGGCTGAGGTTCTGTTTCAGAGGAGGAAAAGAGCTGGTAGAGCAAACCAAGTTTGGAAATAATTACTATGGGATCTTACATGGCTGTAACATAGGCTCTTTTTCATTAAGAGAAAGACATTTACTTTGTATAATAGACACAAGCTATATACACCTTGATGTTTTAAAAATCAACTTATTAGGTTCAAATTTCTCCATTTAACAGCATAACTAATACAGTGAGGATGTGAATTCTGCTTTTAAAAGTATACTTTTTATCTCGATTTGCACATACAAATGTACTGATGAGAGGACGTGTAGTACATAAATTCTTTCAATTTTTCCTAATGTCTATATAACATTTAGTACAGAAAGTCCTATGAAGACTATATAGTGATTATTGTAAAATATAACCAAGATTTCTTTCTAAATATAGAAAATTATCCAATTTAAGAAGGTAAAAGTGAGTTAAAGAAAAAACATCTGTTTAATCTAGAGAAGACCCCACTGTGTGAATTAAAAGGAAGATGAATAAGGCAAGAAAGACCAACAACACTCTTAATTTTATGTTTACTGAAGATTTCTAGGTTTTACTCTCACTTTCCTTCTACATACCATTTATGTGCTCTAAAATTCTAGATCTGTTATCTGGGTTAACCCACATACACCTCTATGAGTAGGCTCCACTGAGAAAACGATGTGATAGGTTGACTAATCTGAGCATTGGACAGTTTTGAATCCTCTAACGTTCATCACATCTCTTACTCTATTCTGTTGCCTCTCCTATCACTGACCCTTTGTATTGCACAATGGAGGTGGCTACTCTGGTTTTGGCCCCCCACTCTTCTTTATAAAAGAGGTTTTTGTACTTATCATCTAAACTCCTCACTTCTTATGTCACCATGCCATTTGTTTGAAATGCCCTAGCTTTCAAGACCTGGTGTTGGTCCCTCGAGAAAGAGAGAAACAGAAATTTGGGATTCTTATAATTATATACAGTGAAAAATGCCTTGAATCTTATAACTTTTTTAAAACCAAAGTTTCTCATTTTTATGTCACTGTTTTTATCTTTTTATTATAACACACAAATGGACTTTTGCTTAAGATCGACATATATTAGGAATTCAATTTGCCTAGCGTATCTAATTCTTCTCTAAATGATTCCAGAAATATTTGTTATTTGAGAATTCTTTTTGATGTTGAAACTAACATATATATGTGTGTGTGTGTGTGTGTGTGTGTGTGTGTGTGTATGTGTGTGTATACATATGGTTTTTTTTCCTCTCTTTAAGCTATCTGGCCAAGGAAGCATAGCAGATTTTCAAAGGATCCCTGTAGGACCAGACTTTAAAAGATGCATAGTCCTCATCTGGCTTCATGTATCAATTTCTTTCAGCTTGTATAAGGAAAGCCAACTTTCCTGATCTTCCCAGCTGAATGTAATCTTTCCCACTTTGATCAACCAAAGCCCTGATCAAATGCTGTCTTATAGTTAGTTCTACTGTTTTCTTATCTTTTTCACATTAGTGTTTAAGCTTCTTGGAAATTTGAGCTATTTCCTCAGAAGATCATTGTCACACTCAAAGGGGATGATATAGAGGTCGATCTTTTGTAAACTGAAAAGCACAATACAAGTCAATTATCAAGAAACGTTTTGATGTACTCTGTGCCAATCACTGAATGCCTTGCACATGAAGAGATATCAGGAAGGATATAGGGGTTGAGATTCATACTTCTGCTAATTACTAGTCCTATTAATTGTAGTTTTCATCTCTAAAAGGTAAGCATGAAAATAACATCTGTTTCAGGAATTTGTTGTGTGCTCTAATGAGAAAAAAGATGTGAACATGTTTTTTAAACTGCAAAGACCACACAAACATGTTATCATAACAAGCTCAAAACAGTTCTTGAGTTGAATCTATATTTGTTTCTTGATTGCTATAAACAAATTTTCTATGTCAAAATTATTCACTCCTACTGATCATTCAGAATCAGTTTTACAAAGATTATTTTGGATTTTGGTTTTGACATGGACGTTTTAGTTCTATGTTTAGACAGAAATAGTCTAGTACTGATATGGTTTGGCTGTGTCCCCACCCAAATCTCATCTTGAATTGTAGCCCCCATAATACCTGTGTGCTGTGGGTGGGACCCAGCAGGAAATAACTGAGTCATGGGGGTGGTTTTCTCCATGACATTAAATAAATCTCACAAGATCTGATGGTTTTATAAGGGGTTTCCTGTTTTGCTTGGTTCTTATTCTCTCTTGCTTGATGCAATGTAGGTGCGCCTTTTGTTTTCTGCTATGATTTGTAAGCCACATGGAACTGTGAGTTCATTAAATTTCTTTTTCTTTATAAGTTACCTAGCCTTGAGTATGCCTTTATGAATAGCATGAGAACAAACTAATATAGTACAGAGTATATAACTCTGTTTTTTTTGTATTAACATACAACCTACATGTGATTCTGATCATGTATTCCAAAGGCAGTAATATTAATACAATTCATTGTAAAAAATCCTATATATTCTCATCAATCATTAACTTGAAAGCCAAATGCTTGTAAGTCATTTTCTGAGTTAAGAAAAGCTTTAATTGGCCAGAGGGCCAGTGGGAGGGGGAGGTGGGGAGGGATAGCCTGGGGAGAAATGCCAAATGTGGGTGAAGGGGAGAAGAAAAGGCAAAGCACACTGCCATGTGTGTACCTACGCAACTGTCTTGCATGCTCTGCTCATGTACCCCCAAACCTAAAATCCAATAAAAAATTAAAAAAAAAAAAAGAAAAAAAAAAAGAAAAGCTTTAATTATAATGATAATTGGTTTATAGGAGTATAATAAATATCAGTGTGTTAGTAATATGTAGTCAACATAGACTTTTGTCATCTCAACGGGAAATATTATAATCACTAAAAAATGATAAGTTTCATGAATAAAGTCACACATGAAAGCACCTCTTCTTTATTATACTGTTGGTTCACAGTTTAATAGGCAGTTTTGATTCAGTAACTAGGTTACTGAAATAGAAACAAATTAACTTGTCCTATTTTTTATGAATAATTATCTAATTTTACGTCTCTAGAGATGAGTAGTGTTGTTTAGTTTATTCTCTTTATTTTGAGATGGAGTCTTGCTCTGCTGCCCAGCTGGAGTGCAGTGGTAAAGTCTCAGCTCACTGCAACCTC